AACTGCCCGACCGCAGCTGCCTGGCTGCCGAGAGCAACTGAAGCCTCCGGGTAATGCCCGGGAATGCCTCGGTGTCCCTTTCCTGCCCCTGGAAACACTCCTGATGAGACGCCCGAACCTCTTCCAGTAGAAAAATAAAATTACTCAGATCTATTGTCAACTTTGCAAATGGCTAATTAGAAAAATACTTTAATGCTGTAGACATCAAGTATATTCAATTGCTAGTTAGCCATCAACAGAAAATCCTTCTCCATCACAAATTAATACATAGTGTGTTGTGTCAACCTTCTCACCCTCCATATGGGGTTTTATTAAAGCTATTAGTGTACAATCATTTATAATATTAAGGAAATGTCTTTATTGTGAATACAATACTTCACTCTTCAACAGCGGCCAACGAACTGCCGTCCATACTTATTCCGGACCTCCACGCTGTAAAAAAAAAAAGCAGACAATTAAATATATTCCACTAAAAGAACGGGAAATGGAGCTCAAATCTTTGGCACTGTCACAGACTAACAGAGTTCTAGTTTTAATTTCTGATTTATACATTGATTTTTAAATCTATATAAGAACACGCACAGAGAGTCAAATACCAGCACCTACCAGTTAACAGCTCCATTTTTTCAAGGGAGAATACAAAAAGATCGCAGCTGCTTCCACTTCTCCCCCTCTGAAGAAACCTGACTCTTACTCACTTTAGAAAGGTCTCACAAACACAGCAGTGGTGAACACAAGTTTTAGAATTATTTTCACTGCCCAAATTCCAAAGTGCAAAGTAAAAACAAAGCCAAGGTGAGCCATTACAATCTTTATGAGAAATCAGAAAGGTATTCATTGTATTGCCAACAAAGTTATTTTATAACTTACCTCACCGTTAGAAAATTTACACTAGAGGTCAAGAAGTGTATTACTATGGGAAATAACTAATTTTATTTCCAATTAGAATACCCTACCCACATATATGCAGGAAAACAGATTTCCTCTACTACGAAGATTACACTGTAGGTGTCCTTATCATTTAACAAAGCTACGCAAGCATCTTTCCATTTGAAACACACGCCCATCTCACATGGCGAAATTCTTCAAATTTCGTGCATTCTCCCTTTTTAAGCACCAGTGTTTACAGCTGAGAATTGTTACAGAACAAAAGCAGGTGTTTCTTGCCTTTCACGTACAATGCCGTATTTGCAAATACTGCAGAAAATATTTGTATCACGTTTAATAAAATGCTTCCACTACTAGAAATACAGGAGCTAACTTACTAATAAATAACTTATAAAAACTAGTTTGAGAAACATTTTGGACTTCAATCACCTGGTGATAGCCTTTGCTGGTCTAAGAGCAAACTCGCATGCTCCAGTCCAGCACATCCACATTACATATTAAACAGCTGTTACAAAACAGGTCGTGACAGTGATTAACATAGGCTACGACTGTTGCTAGCTATCTGCCGGTCTGTTTTAAGTCCGTATCTCTGTAGTCAGTGGTACCACAAGCTACTAATTAGTGAGAGCTGGGTACCTTGTGTATTAACAATTTGTAGTTTGGGTGTTGTGCATCAAAGCTATGAAAGCTGGGAGTGCACCCTTACCAAGAATTACCATGCAATACCATGTCTGAAACTTTGAAGAAGGTGTAGAAATAAGCTAAGTACTAAGTAGATACAAAAAAATACACACCAGTAAATGAAACTTACTTGAATATATTCAATCTCTTCATCTGACATAAGTTTCCTTCTGTATTTCTGAGGTAAGGTTCTTGCTAATTCAGAAGTGTCTGGTGTATTGTACTCTATTAACAGGTGAGATATTTTGAAATGCTGGTGATCTGCCTCCTATGGACTCCTGTGCTTTTGAAGCATGGAGAGATGGCACACTTGCTTGTAGAGATTCCTGTACTGAAACCCAGATTACAAAACCATTTACAGAAATACAAAAGGACCGTAAAATTAATTAATGAGCAGCCAATAAAAGTTACCAGCTATTGACAATTTCTTCATCATAACAAATGCTTAAAAGAATTAAGACACTCTACTTCTCACAACATGTTTTTATTGTTGTTAAATATACCAAGAGCATAGTGAAAAAATTCTGACAGTGAAAGCAAGCATGTTTGAGTGGCAGAAATACCAATGTGGAAATAGAAGACAAATGAGCGTATATCCTAACAAGGGCTTTTTTTCACTGGGAAGCTGTACTTACAGAAAAAGCATAAAGTATCATAAATGTGTGTGTGGAGGCAGTTATGTAGAAAGATAACTAAGATAAATAACTAAGGTCCACTGAGATGATGCTTTTTGTTTTCTGCAAAGACAGACAAGTGAAAAAGAGACAGAGGCTCACAGAAAGATCAAGCTCACAACTATGACATACCACAACACGCAATGCAGTGTTGTACCCATTCTTAATGTTACAAACCGGCATCATATCAAATTTTGTTAATGATGTGCAGAATGGCCACCAAGTATCGGGCATCAGCAATCAATGCTAATGAAATGCAGAGACCAAGGAGTGCATGAAGTACTTTACAGGCGAGGGCTTCAGGAATTCACATTAGAGAAGGTGCCTGGAGTTTGCAGATAGGAGAAGAGATGACAGAAGGGCAGCGTCGTCAAAGTCAGCATTCTGAACCGTAGGCCTGTCCCACCATGTCTGATTATACAATGGAAGTATGCAATTACCCCACCAGGCAGGACGGCGTCTCACAGCAACGTGTTTACTTCATAAGCACTCAGACCCCTACATATAAGGTTGAAACACCCAATAAAGCAGAATGCTTCCAGAGGAAGTCCCTCTCAGTGCTCCTGAAAAATGAGCAAGACAAATGCAACACCTGAACAGCTGGGACAGAGGGACTATATAATTATAAAATAAGCAGCACCAAAACTGGATGAGTCAAAGAATGCGAGGAGTTAAAATACCACAGCATTGCCTGCCTCTCTCCCTCCTGCCTCCAATGGAAAAAAAAAAAAAAAAAGCCACCACTGAGAGGCATATTCAGAAGTTCTCTGTCAGAAGACTGTATCTGAAAGTCCCAAGCTGATCAGGTGGTTCAGGAACAAGAGAAGGTCCCACAGAGAGCGAGGCGGAAAAGAGCCCATCGGAAGGAGCATATTCTGAACAGGGGGCAAAGTATTTTTGTTCCAAGAAATAACACGCCTTATATATGAAAAAAGAAGAAACAGTTTGTTTCATACACCACAAAAACGTCTTAGAGATTTGCCAAGGATTTTCCTCTATTGTATGTTTCGAAGTCTGAAGTGTAGCTGGAGTAGACACATTAGCCAATTAAAAGCATCAGAAGTCAAGACTCAACAGTACCAGACTTAATGCTGCTGTTGCTTTAGCTCAGATACAGTCTCTACTACATTCTTCCCTTCCCTGTTTGAGACCACCATGTCGCAGTAGTAATATGGTAAAAGAATTCAGCTGGCCTTTCAAGCACCCACATCCCTAGAAGTTTAGTCTTGATCTGCAGAGCTCTGTTTGGCTACACAGAAGCAACAGTCTGGTACAGTGAAATGCAGTTATTTTTACAGCGTTCAAGCAAGGTGAGGTAGATTACAATTTACTAATGAGACGACAGAACCAGCTTAAGGTAAAGTCCAACATACTTAAAAGATATAGTCATAAAAGTTTTATGATGCAGAGATAAATAAGAGGCAATACGTTTTCAAGCCTTTGAGAAAGCGGTTCCCTGGCACGAGAGGCGGTGCATTTGGCTGAACTGTGCACAACATACAGAATTCTTACAGAGACTTATCGCAGAAAATCGTTCCTCAAGAGTTTATAGGTAAGTCAGAAGTGGCACTGACGTGCACTGTAGATACTTTGTAATGTTAATGGATAAACTAAGCTTAAAGCTAAATCACAAGCGTGATAATGCTGTGGCAAATAATGTGGTATGGTATAATTTCTAAACAAGTGAGAACAACATAACAGAGCTTCTTAAGACATTTCAAATGCTTTGTTGACTCAAAAGGAATATTAAAACAACATATCACTCATATAACTTTGATGTCTAAATGTAACAGTATTGGGAATCCTATAAATATCAACATAGCTATAGGTATAAAAATAAATGTCAAAGATTGCAATGACATTCTTTTTTTCTCCGCATTAATTAGTAGCACAAGGGAACACTTCTTAGAATGTACAGTGGGATGGCTTTCCCAGCTATAACCAGGGTTTTAAATACCACAGACATCGCACACTCCAACTAAGAAAAGATGAGGAAAATGCAACATCATTTCTGCAAATATCACCTAAACTGAAGCTGCTTCAAACTAACTTGGGCACAATCATTTCAGGCAAATATTAGTATTTGAAAAAATTAGACTTATTGTAAGTAGAAAAACAACACTGGAAATATGTGCAAATCTGCCTTGACCAAGAAAATAAAGACATGCATGTATTATGTGTATTCCCACAGTTGCATAGAGTCTGAAAAGTCAAAGCGTTGTCTTCAAACTAGAACAACCCTGCTCAAAATCAGTTGAGTCATGTAGTTAAATCAGAAAAATTGTGTGCTGGTTCTTATATAAAACAGCTAATGCAAACAAAGGTGGTGCAATTTGTACGTAGAGATTAAATAACTTACTTTTAGGTCTGGGACTACTTTTTCTGTCCGGAAACTTAATTAACGGAGTATGCGGCTTGACTACCTAGAACGAGGCAAGGCAGCAGGAGAAACAGGGAGAGTAAAATACATTTCTAGGCACACATTACCTTCACAGGAATAAACCGGAACGTACAACGTATGACACAACCCCTGCTATAACACTGCTTTCTGTACCACCCCTCTGATAAATTTACTACTGGTTAACGTCCTGTGTTCACCCACGGAGAAATTTAAGGGCATTCCTCCAGCCCAGCGAGCCACCCCCGTCGCAGACGTGCGGTTATGAAGTTTCAGCACGCGGCATAGCTCGCTGTGCTCTGCCTCCTGCAGGTATTACACTTCAGGTGGCTGGACGGGGCTGACGAGTTCCATTAAGGAAAAAAAATATAAGTTATCAAGCTTGGTAGTCGAAGCCACACGTCTTGTTTTTGAAACACGCCTTTTGAAGAAGACTCCACGTCTCACCTTCACCTTGAAGAGGGATGGCTTAGGAAGGA